AGAGGAGAAGTGCCCCCATAGGGTTTCCTAGGCCATAATCTTTACGGGAGCAGATCACCAGGTCTTTCTCCCAAGAGCTGCTGGCTGGTATTGAACTGCCAACCTTTTGGTTAGCAGCCGAGCGCTTAACTGTTGTGCCACTAGGGCTCCTTATATGAAGTTTAGGCATGTGAATTCTCCCCTATGCACAGCTGGCAGAAGAAGACATAGTCAAGAAGAGTTGGTTGGAAAAAAAAGCTGTATTTTTAGCCTAGAAAATAGGAAAAAAACAAAAAACATTGCCATCAAGTCAATTCCGACTCACAGCGACCCTATAGGACAGAGTAGAACTGCCCCCATAGGGTTTCCAGGGAGCAACTGGTGGATTCAAACTGCCAGCCTTTTGGTTAGCAGTCGAGTTATTTTAAAGACGTATTATAATTCAATCATATTTATTAATCCCTATGAGGGCCAAAAGGGAGCCCTGGTGGCACAGTGGTTTAGAACTCGGCTGCTAACTAAAAAGATTGACAGTTCGAATCCACCAGCTGCTCCTTGGAAACCCTGTGGGGCAGTTTTACTCTGTCCTATAGGGTTGCTATGAGTCAGAATTGACTCGATGGCAATGGGTTTAATTTGGGGAAACCCTGGTGGTGTAGTGGTTAAATGCTATGGCTGCTAATCAAAAGGTCAGCAGTTCAAATCCACCAGGTGCTACTTGGAAACCCTGTGAGGCACTTCTACTCTGTCCTATAAGGTTGCTATGAGTCGGAATTGACTCAATGGCAACGGGTTTGGTTTTTTTTTTTTATATGAGGGCCAGGTATTTTTGCTAGGTGCTAGCGATAAAAAGATGAGTAAGATTTGGCTGTGCCCAGGGCGATTCTCTGTAGCTAAGAAGACAGATATGTAAATAGAAAATTGTAATACAGAATGACAAAGACTAAAAGGGACATAAAAATGGTGGCAGCACAGAAGAGGTAGTAATTAATTCCCTCCTAGAGACTGGTGGCTCAGTGGTTAAGTACTTTGCTGCTAACCAAAAGGTCCGTGGTTTGAACCCACCAGCTGCTCCTTGGGAGAAAGATGTGGCAGTTTGCTTCTGTAAAGGTTTACAGCCTTGGAAACCCTATGGGGCAGTTCTACTCTGCCCTATAGGTTCACTACGAGTAGGAATCAACTTGACGGCAATGGGTTTGGTTTTGTTTTTTCAGGGGGGATTGGAAACAGTGGGGAGACTCTTTAAATTAGATAGAAAGGAGACTGGGGAAGTCATTTTACTAAGCCGAACCATATGAAATTACTGATGTTCAACCATATTTGAAATAAAAAAGGTCAATTTCATGTGGTTTAACCTGACAGTAAGAGCAGGAATGACATTTTAGTTTCCTTCCCCCCAGCAACTCTTATTGAATAGTAGTAACTGCCTAGAAGCTGTGTTAAGAATGATTCTGAGGATTCTTGGCTATTCTAAAAAGATAATATTGAAATTGATTAGTGACATCTGTCCTGACTAAGGAATGGGTGGATAGTGGTATAAATTGCACATAGTTGCCATCCTTAAATTATAAAGAACTTCATCAGCAAAGGCACAAAAGTCTGAGAAGTATGGATGTCACATGGTTGTAAACAGCTCAAGGTCATTGGAGGTAGATGGTCTATGGCAGGACGAGTAGAAAATTCAATTCAGGAGGCCCATTAGAAAGCTAGGTTGGTGCTATATTGTGAAATGCCTTGAATGACCTTGTAAACATTCCTCATGCTGCTGCTTGTGCCCTATTAACTATTTGACTTACTTTTTAAAACAAGCACACATTACTCTCCCTCCCCTATTCATGGAGGTTATAGCGTTCTTTTCTGCGATGTTGTTTAATTTGAAGCTTCCTTTTAAGAAAAGGTCACAAAGTACTAAGACAACGTATGATAAGTACTTTGCAAATTAAATTGGATGATGTTTTGGGGTGAAATAAAGACCAAGTCCTTTGACAGTATAGATTTTGCTTTACAAAGGTCAAAATCATTGCATAAAGAATTTTTTTTTTTTTTTAACTACTGAGAAGGCAACCAAAGGAGTGATTTCAGCCCAGTTTCTGAGAATCCACAGCCTAAGAAAATTAGGGAAGCTTCATTATGCCCTGCCAGGATTTAGCTTTCTAGCGGGAATCTGTGTTTTGTCACAATGGGAATCTATAAATTGCATCGAGGATGTAGAAAATTGACCCAAGGGTTTTAACTGTACGATACTGAAATGCCTTTCTGGATATATTTTTGCCACAATCAGATTATTTTTCTTTCGAAACCTAAGCACCTCAAGTAACTCTAGATCTCATTTAAAAACTGAATTTTAACCAGGGGTACACAAGCAAAGGAGCCCTGGTCGTGCAATGATTAAGCGCTTGGCTGCTAATGGAAAGATTGGGAGTTCGAACCCACCCAGCGGCTTCTTGGGAGAAAGATCTGGCAGTCTGCTCCCATAAAGATTAAACCAAAAAATCAAACCTATTGCCATCATGTCAATTCTGACTCACAGTGACACTATAAGACAGAGTAGAACTGCCCCATCAGGTTGCCCAGGAGCAGTTCATGGATTTGAACTGCCAACCTTTAGGTTAACAGCCGTAGCTCACAACCACTGTGCCACCACTGTGCCACAGATGTCACTAATCAATTTCTGCCTTATAGGGCAGTTCTACTCTGTCAACCTGAGGTCACTATGAGTCAATTTTGACTGGATGGCACCTATCAACAACAACAACACATATGACAGACCCACTTGAGAAGCTTTTTCAAAAGCCACTGGCTGGTCCCACCCTAGAAGATTCTGATTTGGTAGATCTCTGTATATCCTATGGTATGTTAATTTCTAAGCAATGAGCAGAAGCATTGAAATGGGCTCTGCAGAGTCACACATGAATACTCATTGATGAAGCAGGGTGATGGAAGGATGCTATATCTTCCCTGGTGGCTCTTGCGCCCCCTGCTGGTGGTTTTCATACCCTACCCCAATGATCTGGGTTTGATCTGTTTGCTCCTAGTTATGCCAATTACCTCCAAAACCAGAAATACACCAACTGAGGAGAAATTAGACCATGTGAAGGCTTGTCTTACAGGTTGTTTAAAACAATCTTATAGGTTTTAAAAATACAATAACTATCAGCTTGGCAAAGGTTGTTCATGACCCAGGCCTGTCCAGGCTCTTAATATATTTACTTCCAAGAGAAGGTCAGTTAATTCCTAAGTGTTCACCTTTATGCCCACTCCTGGGGGGCAGGGGGTGGTCTTCATTTCCATAGCAGGGTAAATGTGAGAAGAGCTAGAGGGCATTCCTTCAGGTAGAACTTCTGCCCGTGGGTTCCATCTCCTTGTGAAGGATTGAATGGAGTCAGCTGACCTGAGAATGGGGAGGGGAGAGATGGATTAGGAGTTATTTTATTTTTTAAAAAACAGGAAATTATTGTTTTTAATACTCAATAATACTGTGAATCAAGGTGCTGGCTTAATAACAAGAAAAAAAACAAAAACAAAAAAACACCAGAATCCTACGGTACCTCCAAGGAGTTTTAATAAAATCTTTATTTGTCTAGAAATAATGTACAAAATCAAGAAGCACAGAGGGCAGAGGGTGAAAGTAGAATTTGGGGAAGGTTTTCTCAGCCCTCATTATGTGATGGATCTGTTCTGGTTCCATACTTGATACCATCCCTCAAGTCCAGCAGAGTGGAGGTTAGTTTTGTAGTTCGGGAAGCAGCCCAACCCTACACACTCTGGAAGTTTCTACTACACTTTTGTTGATGATGGGGAAGATACAGAAGGATTGCAGAACCATTTCCTAGGGCAAGTCTCAAAGGATAGAAGGGTGTCACTGTCGCTGGGGGTGGACTTCTAAGGTACGGTTTCTTTTCATGGGAGATGGCTTTCCAGTTTGGACGGTGACAGAGGCATCCAAAAACAAATGGAAGTGTTTGACCTTCCCTGCTCCGGGAACTGAACAGAAACCACAGGAACCCATTTCCATCCTCAGTAATGGACTTAACACTTCTACAAAGTCCTTCTAATTCTTTGCAAAGTCTTTGAGTGTGAGCTTTGTAGCTGCAGGAGAGAAGAATGAATGCCCAGAAGATTTCTGACCCTGGTGTTCCTTGGGGCGGGTGGTTGTTCAAAACATGTCAGATTGAGGGTGAATCTCAGGACTCCACCGCTCTCCCCCGCTGTAAAATTCCATTTTGCAAGGAGAAGCCCAGTGCCCTTTGCTTTAAATCAGGCTGAGGGAAGTCATCGCTGCATTGCAGCCAGTCTGCAGGGTGAGGTACGCAGCCTATCCAGCTGAAGACAGAGCTTTAGGGGAGAAAAGGAAAACGCAGAAGCGAAAACTCTCACTTAGAGTTGGGCATGGGTGTAGGGTGGGTGATAGCGAGAGTTGTCTTTCTTCCCCACCTTCGTTGTGTTCTTCCTCCAAGGAACTGATTCAGGAAGACTAAAGTTGGAGGGGAAAATGTTTTCTCTAAACCTATCAATGCATATGCTTACCATTTATTGAGTGGCCGTTGCATGCCAGCCCCTATGTTGGGCAGGTCTCCAGCATACGACCCACAACCCTCTTGGAGGTAGGTATATTGGCCCGTCTTTTCAAGATGGGAATCCTGAGGCACGGAGAGGTGCAGTGACTTACCAAGATCACACAGCTAAGTAGTGGTTGAGCCAGGCTTAGCACTGAGTTCTGTCTGATATTTCCAAAGCACTCTTTTGAGTATGCCATGCTGTCTCCCTTCCTGATCTGAGACGGAGTCCCAGTACTCAACACCCACGGGAAAAGCAATGCCATGTGCTTGGCGGGTTGGGGAGGGTGGGCTTTGACCGAGTCCTCTTGGCTAAGGCGGGGGCTTCCATGGGTGTCCCCAGCCTGCTGTCTGGGATGTGGCTGTGTGTTCATTTCTCTGCCTTTCTTGTTTGCACTGCCGCGGTTGCTCCACGGTAGCGTGCCTGCTCCCAAACCGGATGCCATGTCTCTCTCTCTTTCGTAGGCACGGTGCTGTTGTGCCAGGCCAACCAGGAGGGATCCTCCGTGTACAGCGCCCCCAGTTCACTTGTATACACTTCTGCAAGTAAGCCCCCTGCCCTGGCTCTCTTTTTGTTTGTGACATAAATCCCAGTCCCGTCCCCTCCCCTCCCATGTAAGTCCCCTCCCCTCCCTCCGTCCCACCCCCTGTGGCTCTCCAGGAGGCCGCCTTGATTCCCATGAGCATGTTCCCGTTTGCCTTGTTGCCTGAGCGTCTGAATCCCTCTGCTCATCACCATCCACGTCTGAACCCTCACTTCCCAGATGTCCCAGTCATGCTCTGTTAGCTTTCTCAGGATTGGGTCCTATGGATGGGAAGCGGGGTATTGGGTTGGGGGAGGGCTACTGGGGTGGGGTGGGAAGCTATATTTAGCCCACTGGCTGCCTTCTATCACGGCTTTGCAAATTAATATAAAAATCATTTAAATAAAACGTGCAGGCCATCCAAAGGGCACCTGAGTCTAGCCAAGGATGCTTGGTGGGTACGCTTGTGCACCGTTTTCTCACTGCAGGAAATTAGAACCAGCCTGTGGCTAGTGACTTGTTTGCAAGGCTATTCTATTATGCGCTGTGTGCCTCCAGTGAGGAAGGGGAGAGAAAAAGGTGGCTCTCCCCCATTTAACTGAGAGGAAAACAACAATAAATATATCCTTTTAAAAACTCTTGAAAACACTGTATACATACAAACATAGCCTCCAAGTGCTAGGGAAGAGGACCAAAAATAAATATGGAAGAGAGATCACAATGTTGATGTGGGAGAAGCCAAGAGCCCCCTGCTGGGGTGTTCTAGGGTGGACAATGCTCCCACCCCAGTTCCCAGAGAAGGTTGGAGAATTAATGTGCCCCTCCCCGCTTCACCACGGTTGCCCACCTCGCTGCCGTTCTGTCTTCTAAGTCTGCCCCACTCAAGGAGTCTCCAGCCACAGCCAAGACCTCATCATCTATGTCATACTATGTATGTATGCCCTGTAAAATTCCCATCACAGACTAGCGGGGCCTCACTGGGGTCAGTTCTCAAAAGTGAGTCGGGGGGATGGAAGACCTGCTTCTGAGACTGGCTGGAGAAGGGTGGGGGCTACTGAGAGCAGAGGTACCAGGCTCATGCAGATCAAGGGGATGGGAGACAGAGGAGAATCCTCACAGTCATGCCAAAATCAAACGTCTCAGTTCCCAAACTGTGGACCTCAGAGTCCTCACGGTGGCGGGGAAGGGTTACCAGCAATCACAGGAGGCCAACAATTTATTTTTAAAAGTGATGATGAGAAACTCGAGGGTACCAAGGACTTCGGGTGGTGGGGACAGCCGACCGCTTTTCCCAAAGTAGAATCATCAGCGGCAGTTTCGGCATCCGTTAAATGCAAGGCATTTCTCTGTGTTCTTAGGAAACCAACATCTAACCATACTGGCAAGAGGTCGTTCTTTCTGAGTATATGACAGTGGTTCCATTTGTGGCAATGTGAACGTGTGTGTGTGTATCTCCTAGAATGATAATGCTGCTACGCGTTGTGACATGCACAACCTTGTTGATTCCACTCAAAACCCATGCCAGGTAGGTATGACGATGCTTGCTTTAACAGCCAGAGAAATGAGGGCACCGAGAGGTTGAGTAATTCACTCTGGGTCACACAGCCCGCGTGTGGTAGATTTGTTTTTCGAACCTGAGAAGATCATTCAAACTTCTGCTGCTTTTCTTGGTCCGTCCGCCTCTCTTACCCTGTTATCTCATGGCACCTGGCCTTCCTTCATCTCTATACATACAATTTTCCAAAGGAGAGTTGACGTACCCAGACTCATCATAGGGTTGAGTTCCAGATTGTTGTTTTGTTTTTCCGCTAACAGTGCTGTCCAGTTGAACTGTCTGGGATGGCATGTTCTCTGTCTGCACTGTTGGATTCGTGTGCCACCGGGAACAAGGAACTAATTATTTTATTTTATTGTAATATGTTTAATTAGCCACATGGGCTAATGGCTACCTTGATGGACAGTGCAGCTCTACAAGATCATACGCTGCGTTTATATTTTAGTTTTTTTTACACAAGTAAAACAATAAAATTAAATTAAAAAAAACAAGTTAAATTTTAGAAAAAAGCTAGTTTGCATTGGGACAACTATTCTAAAGCAACTTGGGGAAATGTTAGACATGGAAATGGTTGACAAACTCTCCATAATAAATTAGGTGAAAGAAACAGAAGGAAGGAATGTCATTTAAAGCAAGGATCCCAAACTATAGCCCGTGGGCCACGTCCAGCCCATGGCCTGTGTTTGTTCGGCTTGCAAACTAAGGTTAGGTTTTTAGATTTTCAAAGGGTTATTTAAAAAAAAAAAAAAAAGGAGGATACATTACAGAGATATATATGGTCCACAAAGCCTAAAATATTTCCTTTCTGGCTCTTTACAGAAACATTTTGCTGCGCCCTCATCTAAAGGGTCCATTTTATTATTGAAAGTATAAAGTGGCAATATTGCCTGCTGTATATAATGTAATTTTTGTTTCTAAGCTTAAAAGTAAAAAGTTGTGATAATCATAGAAACGTTATGTGTGCAGCATCCTTCCATTAGAAATTACATAATTGGGGGGGACCTCATACCACCAAGAAAGCAGTGCCAGGAGGAGAGTGCGTCCTTTAGACCCGGGGTCCCTGCGCAGAGAAGCTCCTAGTCCGGGGGAACACTGATGAGAGGGCCGACAGAGAGAGAAAGCCTTCCCCTGGAGCTGACGCCCTGAGTTTGGACTTGTAGCCCACTGGACTGTGAGAGAATAAACTTCTCTTTGTTAAATCCATCCACTCGTGGTATTTCCGTTGGAGCAGCACTAGATGACTAAGACAGAATTTGGTACCGAGAGAGTGGGGTGCTGCTCTAACAGATACCTAAAATGTGGAAGCAGTCTTGAAACTGTGAATGGGTAAAGGAGCGGCAGTGGCAGAGGACCAACAGTAGCAGAACCAGGAGACCAGCGTGAGATGGTGGTGGAGCCAACCCACAGAGTGAGAGAGCCGAGTGCCTGTGCTCCGGAGGCTTCCTGGCCGAGTGGGGTGCCTCCAGGCACTTACCGGTGGAGCTAGGCTTGCCGACCCACAGAGCTAGGGAGCCGAGTGCCTGTGCTCCGGAGGCTTCCTGGCGGAGTGTGTTGCTTGCGGGCAGTTATTGGTGGAGCTACCCAGCTTTGGAACACTTGCCCCAGCAGGGCAGATGCGGACTTGAGGCCGGAGGGCCAAGAGGCCATAGGAAGCAGAAGCTGAAGAGACAAGGAACACAAGAAGCTGAGCTGCCTCAGTCTCAAAAGGTATGGCCATGACCTCAGAGGTTTCTAAGGGTGGAGCCATGGCCTCTGGTGTTTCTAAGGCTGGAGTCGCCACTCAGATGGACTGGGGGAATGGTGCGCCTAAAGCGAAAGGAGCAGAGTTGCTGTCCCAGTGGGCCTGGAAGGCGGAGCTGAAGCCCAGAGCCAGGGGCTTCCAGTCAGAATCTGGAGACTGTGGCCAATACCTAGAGTCTGGAGGACAGGGACATTGTGTACATTGTCTGAGAGAACAGAAGATTATTTTCAAAGCCTTGAGGGCTAATGTAATGTGTCCTGCTGACTTGCTTGGTGCCTGTTATCCCTTCTTTTCCTCTGGTTTCTCCCATTTGTAATGGAAATGCCTAGCTTGTGCCTGTTCTGCCGTTGTACCTTTGGAAGCAGATAACTTGTATTCTAGATTTCACAGA